GTGTTGAGCATAATTTTATGGGGCATTACAGGATACTTTGGGTATAAAATGCAAACACTGCCAGGTCAAAACATTTTTACAAGTTGAAGTCAAAAGCTGACTTGTTACAGCCCTGGTGTGAAGCCTGGCTGTTCCACTTCAGTGCATTGCTTTCCTCAGTGTATTTACACTGTTTCTCAGCACCATGCAGAGTTAGTGCAACTCCTTTGCTTCTAGGGTGTGAACTAGCTCTGAGCAAGCTAGCTTGGTTGTCTACGTCGTACTTCATTGAACCGTGTGGATTTACCCTTTGAGCCTGTTTCAAGACAGGGATTTCAGTCCGGGACTCCCTAATCTTAGATGAATGCCCTACCCTACTTGCTATTTTTAGGCTTCTCTCTCTTCCCCCCTTCCCTTCTTGTCATAACATTTTTGAAAGGTCTTGCTTTCTCCTGAGGGTGAATGGGAAAATTCTGAAATATTAACAATGGTTAGATGTGAGAAATATTTTACATTGAACTTGTTAGACATTTCACACCTACTCCTCATGTACTCAAGATAGCTCACTGCATCGTGCTCTGCACATTAATTCTTTAAGTATAGATAATTTGGATTTTCCCACTGTTCCTTACTGAAAAATAGAGCTTTCTTTCCTTCACAAGAGAAAGAAAAAAGAAATTCTTCAGATGTCCCTTGAATCTTCCTTGAAACAGAAGAAGTTTTCTCTCAGCCTCTCCAGGGAACAGTTCCTCAGTCACGCTGAGAGACTGTTTCACTTTATTAAAATTATAAAATTATTAAGATGGTTTTAGTACTGTACACTACAAGTATATTACCTAAAGTAAAATTACTTATCTTTTCATTTGTCATTAATGAAAAAAAAATCTTATTAAAATACAGCTATTAGAAACTTTAAAATGAAATGTGCTTAATACTGAATTTTCTTTCTCAGTCACCTTCAGGCAGCTCTGTTCAAGATAAATGTAACTTTTACGGATGGTTAATACCAGATACACATCGATAATCTAGTCTTTGAAAAACACTTATATGTGGTTTCATGGGGGTTTTTTGATATACAAACTCACCAGAGAATGGCAGCTCAGGAGCATGTGCTCAGAGCTCCAGTCTGTGTTCAGTTTATACACTCTAGGCACCACACACAGTTTGTTTGTTCAGGGTCAGAGAGTCATTGGGATGCTTAGCCAATGAGAGTTTTTCACTAGAGATAGTTGCAAATAGCACAGAGGGGAAGAAAATCACAGACGAGTGCTCACCAGTAAGGAGGCAATCCCAATGTTTTCTTTTTATATATTAATGTGGAAGCAGGGAGCAAAATCAGCAAAGCTGCAATCTATTTACACTCCTAAGTCCTTGCAAAGGGAAACCATCTCTTCACGTGTTGCACTTAGCGCTTTGTTGTTCCCTTTCTCAGTAGTTCCCTTTGCATTACCACAATAAACACGGTCATTAATACTGCATACCTGCAGTGCCTTTTCTCCATTAGAGAATTGCCCATGCTGGGATGATCATCTTCAGGGATTCTGGCTGTAAACAAGGACTTGAGTGGTGTTATTCAATAAAGCTGTGCACTACTCTTCTAAACATGGCCCTAGATTTCTATCCAAATATGGGGTTTGTTAATAAAAGGAAAATAAGAATGATAGAACTTGTGCTGCTTTAGGAAAGCCACATGTGATGGGGCTTTAAAAACAGGCTTAGAGCTCAAAGGGGCAACAAAATAAGAGAAGGAATGATACTTTTCTGGTCTGGGGTTTGTGATGCAGGGTTATGGACAGAGAAGGAAGCAGTGCCATCAAATAGCAGTCAGAGGTGAGAGAACGAATATCTGGCCTGCTGCGCATACAGAGGGATTTTCTCTTACCCATATGCCCTGGTTCTACGAATCTGCTATTAGGTTAAAGTGTAGGTGTGTCTGCTCACGAGGAGCTCTTTGAAGAAGCTGTAGGTGTAACATGTCTGTCATTAATCAGGCTGGAGATCACTCTCACAGTCATGGAAAATGAAATGAACAGTTAGTCAGTGGGTGGAAAAACAAAGACTCATTTTTCAAGTCGTCTTACCAGATGAACAGACATCTTTTGATGATATCAGCTTTCTTGTTTTCCTTTTTCTGATTCTTAAATTAATTTATTGGATATTTGAAATCTATTGTAGACAGTGGCTACCATACACAAAAATATGATTAGATATATATGCTTAGAAGATATATTAAAGATTAAAAAGGTAAGGACATAAACAGACAAAACCCATAATGATAGGTTGGAATAGCTAATAATGCTGATCATGAAATATCAGATCATCACTGTAAATTATCAGCTATTAAGAATTAATTGGTTATTAAGTGTTACTTAGAGCTCTACTACTATTTTGATGATGTGAGAATCATTACTGATTTTCTGGTGTAGGAAATTTAACAACTTCTTGCATTGATGCCTTTCCTTCAGACATATTTATAGCACTGCTGCTCTGCAGAGCATCACTGCTAGAGGTTTGGAAACTTGTGAGACCACTTTTTAGATGCCAACAAAAAAGACATATATATTTCAAATGTAATTGGAGCACACTGATCAAAGCATATGTAAATAATCATATAAGAAATCTCTTTAAGAGTTCTCTGTTCTACACAAATGTCAAGTCCCCAGGGAACAGCTTTACAACAAGAATTAACGCTGAACAGACTTACACAGAAAAAAAAAAACATTCTTCAGGCTAAGTAGCCTGTTTCTACAAAAAAAAACACTTTCAGTTCACAGAGCCTTGTGTAAGGGAAGACTCGCAATCTCGACAAGTTAACTCTACACTAGGGAGAGGAACTTGGGGAGCTACAGATCACAACACCTCCTGGTCATTCCCACAGAAACAGTAAATACAGGAATTTTACTTTGTCATTCTTTCCCATACACATAACCACAACATAAATGTAATCTTCTATTTTGTTTCTTTCTCAGCTCTAGGCAAACAAAATAACTTTTTTCCTCTTTCTTTGTCCCCAAGTAGAGACACAGGTGTCTCTTCCCTGATGCACATCTCCCTGAATGAGGTCTGACATTCCTTCTCTTCCATGCAGATGATTTAATTATTCCCACACGCTGCTGAAAGACGTTGTAGTTTACATGCTATGAGCTGTGTCTTGCAATGCGCTCACTGGACATCTGCTCTAACTGACTCCTGACAGCCAGCACCAGTCTGCGGCATAGGGCAACACTTACGGAGAAGTGACGTGGCACAGAAAGTACAATCTGCAACACCTTTAAATCTTTGAAGTTAATTTCCAGCATTAAAAACACAGATGCAGTTTCTTCTACTATTTATGAGCAGGCTGTGTATACATATCTCAAGGCACAATTTAGCCCTTAATAAATTTTCAGCTTTTAGCATGCAATGACTGTTCAGAATAAATTTACAGAAAATACATCACGTTAATATTTTCAACTTTCCAGTCAGAATACCATGAAGTATAAACTATTGTCTGTTTACAAGAATGGAGTAGCTCATAAGATGTAGCATGTCAGGTAAACATATTAGGAATACTATAAGAGAAAAAAACACATTTTTCCTTATTTTCCTTTAAAATATGAAAGCCTTGCAAACACACAGTTATTCAAACCTTCATTTAAAGTTAGTCATCATAGTGCTTCACTCGCCAGTTCTTTATATGCTGTGAACCTCAAGTGTCTATGCAGTTGTTTCTAAGGTAACAGATCAGGATGCCTTGTGAAAAAAATGAATCAGATCTTGAATATTCAAGACATCTCCAGTTGCAGAAATGAGAAAAGGGCAGTATCATCTCAACTGAGGGTTCTCAATATCTTTTAGACCCTGGCCTGATTTACAGACAAGAAAAACGTAATCCACCCTAAGGCTGTAGTGTGAGAGTACAGTGGCGCATGCAGTTTCAGGCATGTAGACTGTCAGAAATTTTTAATCAGAGCCATAATTAAGGAATTACGGAGGCTGTTCTCAACAGAGTCTCATTGCCTCATTGCAGGGTACACACACACAGAATACAGATGAAGAATGTGTCTGGTAAGATTGCGCCTTCATTCCAACCACTGACAGCCTCACAGAAATCTTCCTGCTAGACATGTGATGCACAAACCAAAAAATACATTAAAAATGAACATGAATCAGCATGTGAAAATAAATGCATATACTCTTTTTCCTCAAGGGACCAAATATGCATTATTTCCACCAAAGAAAACCAATCAATATCTTTCACAGGTGATTACCTGAGCCAATCATTTTCAGTGAATGGGATTATTGGTGGTTTTTGAGGGGGTTTTGTGGTTTATTTGTTTGTTTGTTTGTTTTGTTTTTTTGTTTTAAACTGTCTAGAACTACCTTTTGTTTCTTTCAAAAGCTGTTTTATTTATTATCTGAGTCCAGAAATCATATAAACATATGAATGCAAGCAAGGCGCACAGAGAGAGTATTAACCAAAATATCATGTAAGGCTTTTAGAAAACTTCTGTTACTACAAAAAAAACCCTACATTCTTTGCCTAACAATATCTGACATATATGTTTATTGATATATGCATTCTGGAATATGCACAAACACACCCACCATCTGTGATAAAATAATCATAAGGTATTTTTCAAATGCCCATCTTAATGAGATCTAAAAAATCAAATTCATAGAAAAGGATCAGGCTTGATAAAAACCTTTGGAGCTGTATTATTTTCCATGTTGTGTAAGGGAAAACTGAGACATAACGGCCCAGTAGCTTGGGGCTAAAAAAGATAAAAGTCGTGTTCATACAGCCGGACAGATCATGACTACTCATACCCATCTTCCTGTCTCTGAATCCTGTGCTCTATCTACTGCATTACAAATTATTGCACACTATAAATGCTTGGAGTAAATACCGTTGTGAATATTTACATAGCTTGTTTGGGAACATTCTTCAGTGACTACTCTGCATGAAGAAAACATTAACAGGTTTTGGGACTTGCATCATTTAACAAACTGAAAGGCAGACACATTGATTAGGGTCTTACGTTCTTGGAAAGATGTGAAGAGCATCTGGAATCGGCTGCTTCGACTGCCTTCATCTGCCCACATGCGGATTACACCGAGACCTGTCCGCAGCATTACATCATTAGCAACAGTGCTGCAAAATTTCGCTTTCAAATCCTCCACGGAGCTGCTTCCATCATAGACAGCTACAAAATTCCTTTTGCATTCATTGGAATTCTGCATCTCATAGTCCAAGAATCGCAAATAGATCTATGAAACAAACAAAGAACAAAGGCAACGTACAGACATTTGAGAATGACTAAACAAACAGTAAACACCTTTGCTCTACCTTGTGGGAGAAAGACTACACACCACCACCATCAAAATGATTTTTCTGGAGCTGGTGATCCGTAAACCACTTCCTTGGAAGGGCATTAATACAGAAACTGAGCACTGTTTATACTTCCTGGTATTTTGTTGTGCTTCAAAGTAGAATCTAGTTGAAGATCTGGATATTTTTGTTGTTCTTTGCAGTAAGGTCCTAATTTCCAAATATATACCCATCTTTGAGAAGTATGTACAACAGTCCTTCAAGCTGAAGGACAGACAAGCTAGAAATTTCTTCTTTTGCTGGCTGGCACAATATTGCTCTATTACTTGCCTGACCTGGAAAATAATAAGGCAAATAATTGCTGCTCCCTCCCCAGAGTCAATATGTGTCATCTTTGTGATATGTCTCAGCTACACTGATTCAGGAAGTGAGAATCTGGGAGCCAGGCAGAACTCAATCATTAATCTTTTTATGTTTCCTCAAGCAATTTGGCCACCATCTCAGCTTTTCTAAACAAAGCCTTATGGTATATATCTTCAAAATTTAACAGGGTTGAAATCAAGCGTATTTCGTGGAAACTGCTAGAAACCTAGAAAGTTTTTTAGGAAATGTCTCTTGCATACAAGCTAAGTTCTCTCATAAATGTAATAGATATATTGCCCTTTGCAAAATCTCTTTAAATCTACCCAAAAAGAAGCAGGGGTGAGGACAAAATGCTGTTATTTGATATTCAACTCTATATGGACTTTAACAGGGAAAACCACTCATTTTAAAAACAATTGATAATACAAGCAACATCAAATATTCCAGTAACAGAGAAGGCAAGTAATATTTTCAATAGACACATGATACATAATCAAATGACCAAGCGTACCCAGGAGACTTCAGGAGAATGATACAGAAAGGTGAAGTAGGGCAGAAATAGCATAAAAAGCCAGTAAACATATCCAGCATCCAGCTATATGCATCTTCCTTTGAAAAAATAACCAAAAAGAAACTCCACTGTATTAGACATCAGCTATACTTCTTTATAAACAATCTTATTAGCTTCAGGTAGTTTTTTATATGCACAGGACAATTGCTTAAAAAACCTCTGGATTTGCATAAAGTAGACAAACATAGCATAACCTAGTAGCAACAGGACTCACCACTTCACCTCATTAATATATTAAAGCTCTTATGGTTTGAGAATTATGTGCTACTAAGCAGTCTGCCACTGTTTAATAATAGCTCAGACTTTTAAATGAGCCTTTTCAGGTAGTGTATTATGGTACATTTTCATTCCTTGTTATGCTTTGCAGCTGGTCTCTTTGAAAAGAATATTTGTAAAACAATTTTTACTAGCATATGAAATTCGGTATACTAAGTTTCATTTTGCTTGCCTCACCTTTTTCTAGTATGTTATTTCTTACAGTAATCCTTAGTTATGTTCCAACGTTCCCATCCCCCAGAAGAACTCAGAGGAATATATTTCAATTAAATTGCAGTTAACTGAATTCTACTTTCACCATGTATCCTGGTTTTTAAATACTATAAATTAAGGAAGCTACTTGTATTGATCTCTACAAAATGGAACAGTTAACAGCAATACACAAAGTAATATTCAGATGGCAATATCTTATATCAAGGAATACTTTTTATAGTGTTTTTCATTCCATTTACTCGTTGCTCTGCCCCTGCAGTGGAATGAAAAATTACTAGAGTTCAGTCACCCGGCATTGCTGAAATTTTCTCACAGTATCCATTGTTTTTTATAAATGTGTTGTCTTGAAATGTCTTTCCATTTCCTCTCCTACTGGGGGACACGCAGCTTCCATTCTTCTTAAAACAGGTCGCCTACTTCCTTGGCGAAGTCATACTTAAAGGTTTGTTTTGGATGCTGAAGATTTGCTGAGTGCAGAAAATGCATTTCTGAAGTTCCTCTGCACTGGCTACATCCCTTTACAAGTCTCTCTTTCATCCTCTACTCTCTTCCTCCCTTCCCCAGGTGCTCAGGCACCTGACCCTTTACTCCTTCTTGTGCTCCAAATCCTTGTTATTGGTGTTCTCCAGCTATTTAGAGCATTTCTGTCTTGCTGATACCTGACTACTTTAGCCCCTCAGGTAAACCTCATCTTCAGTGTGGCTCCTGCTCTTTTCTGTTTATACAGCATCAGCCACTTCCATGGCCACCACGCAAACGGCTGACCTTCGCTGCCAGCTACTTGCTAGAAACTGTTACACCTCTGATAAGAAGTGTATGAAAATGTGCAGAAATTAACTGGAACCAAGCAAAAATGAGCAGCAAAAGGCCAGTGAGAGAACCGCAAACAAGAATTTTGGACCAGTCAGTGACTCAAACGCAGCCATTCAGAAACTGGGGTGGGCAATGTGAGATGGGCTCTTATTCCTTACTCTCATGGTTTGGTAAGATCTTCTTGTATTAGCGGCTCCTGGGGTCCAGCTGTCACAGGCACGCTATTGTCCTGCCAGAGCAAGATTACGCATGAGGGCGGGAGGTATGGGAAGGGACAGAGCCTTGATACCCACACCCAGCAACTGGCCATAGCTGGGACACACCAGAGAGCTGCTTCTGCGTCCTAGAGACCAGTCACTCCAGCATAAACCCTGGCACCCAGCCTCTCCTGTGAAGCTGCTGAGACGATAGTCCATAGTCCATCTCTGCATAATGTTTAACTTAGAACGGGGAGTTAAATGTACGCTTTGCTTGTCTTTCCTCCGCTAACAGAAGCAGCCTGCTTCAGATGGGCGCTTCAGTGCTTGCCGGCTTTGTCACAGGTAATGCAATAAAAACCTTCTGCAACTGATTATATGCAATATTGTATACACATGGCCGTTCTCCAGAAAGTGAAGCATGTCAGATAAATGTCTCATAGGAAAGCACAGAAGGCTTCCAACATATTATTGTCACGAATCATTACTTTTATGCCATATATGCCTATCATATGTATACCATCTATAAGTTACAATATACCATATATAGATATGATAGACCATACAGATATAGTGTACGTATATCACATTTTTATCTTATTCCACTCTTCAGGAAAGCTCTTACCTACTCCAGAAAAAAATTATCTTAGTCTGACTGCAGAACAATAGTAAAACTGTACCTAATGGGGGAAAGACCTCTTATGCTTGCTCACTTGTTCTCTATTTCTACCCTGCTGTCATATATATATTTATAGGTACATATATATGTTTGTATACATATATATAAGCACACATATATCTTGTATAGGGTATCCCATTTCATTATTGAGAGGTAATTTATGCCAGTTTTCATTCTTACAAGAAATGTGTGCTAATCCTCACTGTGGTTATAAAATACCAGCTCTCAGCCAGCAATTTCCAGCATTCATCAATTATTCCTGATCTGTTCAAACAGATCGTTCATATAACAGTACAGCCAAAGTCTTATTTCTATGGACTTATCATTTGACATTGTCTAGTTTCTGGTGGCATGCCAGCCTTATAAAATAGTAAAATCTTTCCTAGAGTAGCAGTTACAAATGCTGAGAAGGAATCAAAAGAACAATAACTTAGCATTTCACTTTGAGACTTTTGCTGAAAAAGCCAACACTTTCAGTTCTTCCCAAGCCTGAATTATGCTGTCATTCATACCAGTTCATTCTTGTGTGTGATAAATTCAGCTAATATCATAACATATATAGACTTGATAGGTACTGGAACCACTGGAAAGAAATATTTGACTTAAAAATCTATGTCCATCTTTCAGAAGAAAGATGGCACCTTCTCCAATAACATGAAGTTTCATAAATTAGAGAAAATAAATTCCTGATATTCTGAGGTGAGTTGGAGTTTCACTCTCACAGTCTGCTTTGGAGATGACTATTCCCAGAACTTTATATAAAGTAATGAGTACTTGATACAAAGCTCACTGAAATCAGTGGGTATCTTTCCGTTTATTTCTTTAGATCAGACCTATGGATTAAGACTGCAGTGCATTTTAAAAACTGGAAACTGATTACACAAACTGACAACCTAATATTGGATCAGATTTTATTTTAAAGAGCTGGAATAATTTAATTACATCTGCACACCTCTGCCAATTTTTATGGTTTTATTACTGTATATTTGCCATTGTTCCTGTCACTGGCTGTAAGACCCACACTGGCAGAAGAAAATTACTAATAAATTGAGTTCCCCAGGGAAAGAATAAAACTGATTACATGACAAACTGTTATCTAATGTAAAATGTTCCTGATACATAGTTTTCTGAAATCAGTGGCAATATTCTCATTACTTTCACTGGTATGTGGATCTCACTAAAAGAAATTAAGCAGAAAGTGAGAGAAAAATTATCAATATTTCTGGTTATTTCATTTACTGAGATCTTAGTCGTTACTTCTACCAGCAGTGGATAAGAAAATTTGCTCCCCCAAAAGAAAACAAATGAACAAAAAAGAGGTCACAAACTCAAATACAACCATCTGCCTTCATTAAGTAATTTTTCATTCATGCCAATGGGAGCTATTGGAATGATAACATTTCTGTAGATACTGACACATTATATTAGCATAATCAGGACATTCTTGTTGAAGAGAAGATCTTATTTGAAGGAAGCAGTATAACTGCCATATCTTCTTCTTTCACATTTTTTTTTAAAGTTTTAATAAGACGCTTTCCTCAAATCATCAGTTCCACATTACTTAGAAGAACAGGCTGCTAGTGCACAAGTATTAGCTTTTACTGAGTTTCAAGATGTCACTGCAAATGTCAATGCCATTAGTAACAAAACTGATAAAGCCTCACTGCAACTGTGGCATATATAATTTACACTCAGTCACATTATAATAATAATTGTCCTGTCACCTTTAAGGTTTGTATTGTCATCTTAATAATGAAAAAGGAAATGCTGGATAAGTTTTACTATTTTTTTATTTAAATTTGAAAACAACAACAATCTCTGTATATA